ATTAGTTTTAGCAGTAATAGTAGAATGCAATGAGAAAAACAAAACAGTATAAAAACACTGAAATAAATAAATAAATAAAATGCATCAGAAACACATACTGTTTACTCACAATTTTAAAAGCTTATCAATAATACAACAAAAAAAAAAGACGCAAAAGTGAAGGTAAAAAATAAAAACATTTACAGCAGAAAGAAAATACAATGAAAATAAAATAAAAGCTGACGAGGTCCTAAAGAGTTGAAAGCAAACAACATGCAGGTGAAATCCTGTAACGTGACACGAGAACAGAAACAGCAAGTCGCTGCACCTGAATCAAGATGAACTCAATATTTGTTTTTAGGTTTGAAGAAAAGAAGAAATAAGAATAAAACATCATTTAAACACAGTTGTTCATTTCAGTAAGAGTAACGTGAGAGTTATGAAAATACACTTTAAGTAATGTGAATAATTCCATTAACTGTGTCAAATATTTTACGTGATTACTGAAGCCTTCCTGTGCTGGAACTCTCATGTGTGCAGCAGCTACAGCTCTGACATCAGTGGAGGAACAGTGTGAAGTAGCATGCTGAGACAATGCTCCAGTAAAGCACATGTGTGTGTAACTGGTGTGTGTATGTGCTGTTGTGTGTTTCCTGCAGCGTCGTGGGACCTTCCATCACCTTCAGGATCAGACCCAACAGCAAGAACCTGACGGCTGGAGAGGTGGCGGAGAAAGCTGGTACGTTACTGAGTACAGATTACTCTACCAGTGATGGCTGAGAGCTGCGGTGTCGTACTCTACAGTGCTGCTGTGAACAGCTCCTCACATAGTGATTGTTTCATTGTCTGCTCGCTGCAGTTGCAGAGAAGAACTTCCTGGAGGCAGAGACGGGTCTGAAGGTGCTGCAGAGCGGCGTCGGAGAGGTGAGTGACACCTGACAAGTGTTCAGAGAAGAAGAAGAAGAAGAGGCAGCACAGAGGGTTGCACGTGACAGCTGGAGGAAGACCAGATTAGATGCATCCAAATCTTTACTTCAGTAAAAGTCCATACGTATGACACAGTCATATGAACATATGCAGTGGTGCAGCATAACTAAACATTGACTCAAGTACATCAGTACAACTTTAGTATTTTTCTCTTGATGCTGCTGAGCTGCTCAGAGCACAGTGCAGGACATTCATCATCATTTATCTGTCAACTTTACTTTTAGTTCATTTTGCATAAAATATCAGAAAAGTTTATAAAATCTGATGTTTCGTTATGAATTCAACTCCCCAACAGTTGATACAACTGAAGCAGTAAATCAACTAGTTGACTGACAGAAAATGACTTGACAACTGTTTTGATAAATAGCTGAGTTGAAAATGTTACTTCAGATTTTATTTTATTTTATTTTATTTTATTTATTTTTTATCCTATTTTATTTTATTTTAGTAATAATTTTAATGGTTTCAGCTGCATAAACTGTTCAGGAGCTTAATTTATAATTAATCATCAAATTTT